TAGCCTAATATTGTATCTAAATAGTTTCACGGTGAAAATTGCTAACCAGCTACAGTCCATTTAGCCAGCATAAATAATACGTTTTCGTCGTCTTGGCTTACTATCTCTGGTGCCCTTAGTTTCCTACTACTAATACCTTCAGCTGTATTTGTTATCGACTATTTTGACAGACTCGTGAAATGGTACTACTCTGATAGATATATGATAGCCCTTGATTCAATATGCTTGTCTATGCTATATTTTTATAGACACTCGAGTGCACTGGTCATAGTCTGAACCATTCTATTTGCAAAAAGATACCATTATTTCTTCTAAATAACTGTTTCAATGATCAGAATGGGATTTGCAGTTAATGCGTAACTTACGTTTGCTTTTGACATTGCGAATATCAGTCATTCGTGTGTTTGTTTGAAACTCGTGTATTATCTATACTTTCAAATGAACGGTAAAATTTGTTTAGTTAACTCACAAACAAATCTAATCAATTAAACTCTAAAGTGTCTACTACATGAATATATATGGTACGTTTACAAAGTAGTTCATAATGTCCTATACTATTTTTAGGAGCAAGTGTTGTTTACATGCGTGCAATATCGAGGTGTTCAATATCGTAAAATACTGCTACAATATGTTTGTTTATGCCTTCCCACCCTTGAAGATGATTCCACAAGTACTTCAGATGTAATGACCTTCACGGCTACGCTCATTCTGATCATGAATCTTCTCAATCGGCTGGTTGACCAACCCAGATGATTATACCAAGGGAGGGACCTTCTCTCGCAGCACAAGAGACTTCTACTGCACAAAAAACCACAGATTCTCAACCTTCACGTTCGGTTCACCTTTCTCCGCCACGACAGATTTTTGAGCAAGGTCACAAAATGAGGCTAAGAAGCGATCTACATCCAATCTCTATGATACGTATTGGATAATCTTGACGCCGTTATAATACTATATGCCCTCCTATGAGTTCAGGTTTAGAGAATTATTTCTTTCCTTATTAAATTTTAGCAAATGAATAAATAATGAAATTCATTCCCGATTCCCGAAGTCATTTTTATCACATTGACTACGTGTTCATTCCACAATATTTAGATTGCCCCAACGACCGGTTTCAACTGGGAAGACCGAAACATTACTTGAAGTAAATACAAGCTGTTATGTAACAGTTATGACCAGTTTTCCTTATTAAAATCTTGTATTATACAAGGTAAAAATGTTCCTTAGAAGATAAAGTTGCTGAAACAATCATTTCCTATATATGTGGGTCTTGTACAGTTTTAATTATCATTTGCTTTGTTCCTTTCGAATTATTAACCACTTCATAAAAATAGGAGGTCTGTTCTCCTAAAAAATTATTATCGTGTCCCGTGTGATGTTCGTCTGTTTGTAGGTATAGATGTTAGCATTGATCTAGTATAACTAAAAAGTACACGATAAAGAAGTATGGATAGTGTTAGCATTGGTATCGTATAAATCAAAAGTACACGATAAGTTCTGCCAATTTTCCATTAAAGATAGAGATGTTCGAAAATAATGTTCTTCTTTTGGGGGCGAGAAGAACCATAAGACCATTGTTCTTGTCGTGAGAACTGTCTCGCCCTAAACACGGAAGGAAAATTAACACAGAATATTCCCATTCACGTGACTTTGTAGATGTCAACTTTTGTATAAGTATGACATAGGGTACACCCATTATTTCATATCTTACTTGTAACTTGTCATTACTTTGACATATTTGATTCTTTTGTATTTCCAGTTTTGTTTTATTGTTGTGAAATTTTGGGATACCTGAAAGCAAACAATATACAACTGGTACATAGAAACTATTGCATTTGGTTCCTAGATGTTAAATGTTTTATTACAATTACTTACTAGATGTTAGACTTTCTATTGCAATTGGTTACCAAATGTTAAACTTAATACCAACAAAATGTTGGTATACGGATAGTTGGGCCGATTTCCACTTTGTGGAAATAGATATATGCGCATCATTAAGTATTCGTTTAAGCTGATAAAAACAGTTAATTATATCCATCAAAAAATGTACAAATAGATGTTTACCAATTACTAAAGAAATAATTATAAAATCTTGGTTCCAATGTGACATCATATTATTGATATCAGGATTTGAGGAAATCTGGTATTACTCTAAGTTTGTTTATATCTCTCCCTTTTATGACTTTTTAACCAAAGTTTTAAAGACATATTTAATTCTGACCGGAGTTCAACAGTTGCTTCGAACACTCCATACATTGGTAAAGATATACAAGAAATGTTCGAAACCGTTTCATATATCAGAACAATTGTTAAAGAAAGGCATAGAGAAGCTTGAAAGAAATTAAGGGTTTTATCACACCATTAAATGTCGGGAATGGTATACATTTAGGAAACGAACGATGTGAAAGTAAAATGCGAATTTTGTGTAAATAATGAGATTAAAGATGAGTATCGTTTCATTTTAATATGTCCTAGACACCTCTGGCATATAAGGTTATTGATCCGTATTATTATCAGAAAGCAGGGCATTTACTTCATTTGCTCAAAAAATGAAGATCTGACACAATTAAATTACCAAGGTCAATATGTGTATAATGCTCTCTCTCTCTCTCTCTCTCTCTCTCTCTCTCTCTCTCTCTCTCTCTCTCTCTCTCTCTCTCTCTCTCTCTCTCTCTCTCTCTCTCTCTCTCTCTCTCTCTCTCTCTCATGTGTACAGATATTTGCATATTTGCATCGCCATTATTCATTTATCTATTCATGTATTTATGCAAGAGTGTATTGTATTGTATTGTATATACATTATGCATTATATTTCCTACCATGGTACTATGGGCTCTTTGTAAATCCATGTTGGTGTAAAATGACAGCCTAGATGCTACTGTAAGCTGAATACTTTGTTATTGGATTTATTGCCAGTTTAATTCATCCTAAAGGAAATGGCATAACTGTATTTAAATTGTTAGATGATTTACAAAGAAGACTTGTTTTCAACATGAGACGGATACCCTTGCATTTCTCGCGCTATGCATTCCAAAATTAATAGTAATTATAGTAGGTCAAATGACAATCATGATTAATAATTAATGTGATGTGCATACATTTATGTCACTTTAATGTTTCTGCTACTAGTATGAATTAAGGAATCTTTTAAAAAGGATATGTAGATCAGTCATGCGTACACACACATGCATACATACATACACACATGCATACATACATACATACATACATACATACATACATACATACATACATACATACATACATACATACATACATACATACATACATACATGCATGCATGCATGCATGCATGCATGCATGCATGCATACACACGCACGCACGCACGCACACACACACATGCATGCATACATACATACATACATACATACATACATACATACATACATACATACATACATACATACATACATACATACATACATACACACACACACACATACATACATACATACATACATACATACATACATACATACATACATACATACATACATACATACATACATACATACATACATACATACATACATACATACATACATACATACATACATACATACATACATACATACATACATTTGTTCGACTTCGAAAAATGATGGTGTAGCTTCCGGTTGTGTGTCCTCTCTGTACCTTCGCGAGTGGCTGAAGAGTCTGACCATAGAGTGACAGTCTCTGTTGCAATTACTGCAGGTGAAAGTTGAGGATTGTTGAGTCTGTTGTTGTTTCGCCTTCATTGGCTTTCTGAATGTCCTCTGTCTGACATCAAGGCGCCAGGCGGAGCTGTATTCGGAACAGATATCCCATCAAAACAACAATTGTTGGGTCTCACCGGACAGTTGTTTTGCCAAATTTTCATCCGACAATGACCTATTGCAGAAAAATGATCATAATTTTACAATAAAGATACAAATAAAAACTAACTAATGATTTTTGTTGAAAGGATGCTTGTAAGATTCTGACTAAGGTATTAAGGTTAATTCCTTATGCAACTGGTGGTTTTGATACTGAACCTATACTACCACCAACCCCTCTTTTTTACATTCATTTTTGACAGAAAAGAGCTATTTTCAACCTGTTCCTGTGAGAAGCAGGCTCACAGAGTCAGTATGTACCTTATTGATCTTGAAAGTTCACTAGTACTATAACAAATTAACATACTTTTCATCACCCCTCAACCATGTAGATTTTTAGATATTTACCTCTGAAGCAGACACATGTAAATACGTAAGCCAAGTCGGATGCACATTTGCAGACTAAGTTACGCATTTGATCTCCAGTGCTAGTCTAACTGTGACAGGCAGTCACCAACAAGGCAACCCATTTACAAGCCTAACTCAAAGTAAATGTAAACCACATTACAGATTTAGCTTATGTGTGAGTTTATAAATGCTAGGGTTGTGATAATCAGGCTCATGCCTTCTACCTTAAAAATTAGGGGGGTGTCAAAATATGAAACTATCCAGTGAGACCTTGACGTTGATATTGGCTGTCATCATGTCCTTCTAGCAGGCATCTTTGCAACGCAGACGTGGTCGTCCAGTCAGTCATGCGATTCTGCTTGCACGCCCTTCAAAATGCGGCCTGGATCTATTCTCTTGACGTGGCCGAGCTAGCTGAGAATGAAGAACATGCTGTTCATGTTGGCGCGTTCATAACCTCTGTGTTGGGTACTTTATCCTGCTACAGGATGCGCAGAATGCGGCGCAGGCATCTTAGGTGGAAGCTGTAATGTGATTTCTGATTTAGATTTTTAACGTAGCTTTAATTTTTTAGTCACATCGCTACGATATCTGCAGAGTGACAGTTTGTAGTGATGTCTAGCACTGGGGCATCATGCCGCAGACATGTAGCATGATGTCCCCACCCAGTCACATTATCCTGACATCAGGCCGACCAGTCCGAATACTAACCTCTTACTGCTGAGCGCCAAGCGAGGTAGCTGTTAGTACCATTTTTTTAAAAGTCTTTGGTATAACTCAGCTGGGGATCGAACCCACGACCTCCCGCATCCAATACGGACGCTCTAACCACAAGGCCACCAGGTGGAAGCTGTTGAGTTACATACATACATATATACATACATACATACATACATACATACATACATACATACATACATACATACATACATGCATGCATGCATGCATGCATGCATGCATGCATGCATGCATACATACATACATACATACATACATACATACATACATACATACATACATACATACATACATACATACATACATAGTATAGGAGTTGACATCACTACATGTATCTTTGTTTTGCTTGTTTCATTTTGTTCTTTTGGACGGAACATTTAACGTATTATTGACTATATAATACAGTGGTAATGGGAGCTGTCTGTCCCAGGCATGTATCAAACGCGCGACCCTAGGCTGATTTGTCCGACGCTCTAAACAACTGAGCAGATTACTACTCTCGAAATAATCACTATAGTTGACAGGTGCATAGGTTTCAAGAGTAGATCAAAATGGGATTATGACCTACTTGAGTGACTATCGGCGACTATAACGTACGGGTCCTGTCTTTTTTTTAATTTTTTTTTCTGCTGGGATAGCTTGCGGCAATCTGATAAATGAAAGGGACAGAACACGTTTGGCCGGGAAGCTATTTGCACGAGGTAAGTCCCACGTAGAACTGAATGCATGGATCGTCGATATTGGGCTAGGATTAGTTTCTACAAATTTATTGAATTATTAATTGTCAGCATAGTTAATTTGAATGCAAATAGCTTAAGAACATGCCCATATATACTATTATGATAGAAACATATTGCGACGGAAGATTAACAAATTGTGTTAATTTGGACCAAAATGGATTTCATTTAAAAAATACAATAAACATTGTCATTTTTGAAGGTGAAGAAATTTTTCTACAAAAGACGCCAGTCGATACCCTGTAAGACACTTAGTCACTATCATGAAAAACAAAAATAACTGGTTGATTAATATTCAGGTCGCTTTCCAGCGACATGTTGGGAAAGATAAGGCATTTACATGTATATCCTACATACGACTGGCTATACTAGCGACTACAGATGACGAAGAAGGGTTTAATTTCGACTGAAAAGAAATTAGAAGAATGTCCGCAAACCGATATAAATTTTTCAATTGGCGACTATTTATAGAATAATAGACATCTTATTATGTTTGGTCTGGAACGAAATTATAATTTGAAGTGACACTTACGTCTCTCCCCTCACAAAGTTTTTAACTTGTGCAAATAGTGAGATTCATTTCGTCATTTTCTCTTCGTCCCTGTTCTACAGAAAACCTAAGATAACTTTCTCAAAGTTTTGTAAACATTTGTTACAAATATACTAGATATTCTAATTACGGTGCAATTTTAAATAAAGCATAAATTGTAAATTTTGGTGAGTCATATGTAATTTTTGGGTGTGTATACAGATAATTTCGAATCTTTTCTAATATTTTATTGGATTTTTTTTTATTATAAAAAGATTATCAAAAAAATGTATCAATAAAACCTAATTATTTCAAAAGTGTTCTTATGTTTATACTAAAGAATTGTTTTATTAACATCGGCTCTAGATCCTTCAGTTCTAATTTAATACAAATAATGCTATCATTCAGGTTAGTGAATTTTAATTCGTACACTATGGAGTTTCGAAACCAGGTCCGCGAGTAAATGACACCCATCGCCTTGCCTATACACACCAAAAAAATGATGGCACTGAATCGGTGTTATATGAACTCGTTTGTAGCATAAACACTCGCTTGACGACCTAGTGAATAATTCTCATATATATATATATATATATATATATATATATATATATATATATATATATATATATATATATATATATATATATATTCACAATATATAAGAGACATATTAAGGTAATAAAGGTATATGGGGTTTTTTATTACAAAGAGTTATAAATATATACCAAACAGAACAGAAAGTGCTATCCCTGGATTCTATAGCAGAATGCGTGATAATAGAAGAAGGAATTCAGCATTAATAATTAATTATTAATTCTGCCTACTATTATCATGCATTCTGATATACAATCCAGGGATAGAACTTTCTTTCTGTTTGGTATTTAGTAAACTAGTATCTAACTAGCCTGAGCCCTTTCGACTCTTAACGGAAGATATTTTTTGCAGCCAACACATTTTCTTTTAAAATATTCTCTATATTTGCTTAATAGCCTACAATTAATACTATAACAATGAAAAATCCGGGATATAATTTGCGCTTACATAAATGTACATAAAATAACAGATGTCGTTATGGTCTGTCGATTTCTAGGTCAATACAAATATCTTCAGTATCAGCAGCAAGTTGAAATAAAGTAGTTGAAACATAATACATTTAAAGGTTTAATTCCTGTATAAACAGCCATGTAGTGTTTTGCAATCTCTTCGATTTTTCTGTTTTATTTGTTGTCTTTTCTGTCTATGTTTTGTATATGCCTTTGAAAAAAAAAGATTCATTAAGAATGGAAAGCGTTCTGGCTAGTTAGATACTAGTTTTGCACCGTCTGTTGTCAGTTTGTTGCATTTATTTTAATCAATCAATGACACACGTTATCCCTTGCTGGATCCATTGCACTTGAAAGGACAGTTATTCGCCATATGATGGATGGCTTTTAAAACGTAGGTAAGAAGCAATTTGATATACCAGTACCGTTAGTTTATCAAAGTGTGATCTGTACAGGGCGCATTACAACGCATATATAGATATACAAACATTATTTCAACAGTCGGCTTCTGTACTGTTCTTTAAATCAGTGATGAAGTTCCTCTTAATCATTAGCGACGTAAAATAATAATGAAAAAAAAAATATTAATAATACAACCTTTATGAATGGAATAAACATGGTACACAATTTCGTCAAAAACTCCTCTCTTCTTCACATTAATATATATATATATATATATATATATATATATATATATATATATATATATATATATATATATATATCACACATGTGCGCACGAATAAGGGACAAAAAAAAAGCAGTGGTCTGAGAGTGAAATAGAAAACTGAACTTACACCAAGTAAACATAGTCCGAGTTTGGTCTGACCCTTGCCACCCCATTTCTAATAATTAGGCATTTATGTTGGGGTGTATGATCAGAGTCCATTGCCTATTGAAAAGCTTGTATTCGCCACCACCATTTGGTACCGGCATAAGGCAACCGCTTAAAAGCCGCCTAGCAAACTTTAACGTTTTTTCATCGACGTTTGCCTGGATGAAATCGAAAGGGAAACGATTTATTTACTCAGAAATTGCGAGCATAGCATTCGTATATCTTTATTCCGCTGACAGATGATATGTTGGTATATAAAATTGAGACCCGCCCATGACGCATTAATACGCATAAATAAATATATCAACAGCAAGCTATCGCTGATTAATTATTAACGACAAAGAAAACGAGTAAAACATTACCAATTCCCGCTTTCTGATTGAATTAGAGATGCAACAATCCTCTCTCTCTCTCTCTCTCTCTCTCTCTCTCTCTCTCTCTCTCTCTCTCTCTCTCTCTCTCTCTCTCTCTCTCTCTCTCTCTTGCTTTATCATTGAAATACCACTCGTAGAAATTTGTCACTGAAAGGAATTTCGGCAAGCCTCATTTTCATTTTAATGAAATAACTCTCTCTCTCTCTCTCTCTCTCTCTCTCTCTCTCTCTCTCTCTCTCTCTCTCTCTCTCTCTCTCTCTCTCTCTCTGACTGAAATACCACTCGTACAAATTCGTCTCTGAAAGGAATTTCGGCAAGCCTCATTTCCTTTTATAGAAATAAATCTCTCGATCAATCGATCGATCGATCGAAAGAATTCACTAATCATCTATTACATAACTGTCGCTTTGGTAGCAATAAAATGTCATATGCATATAGAAGCGGCAACACATGTAAATTTGTGTAAGTCATAGCATCATTATTTAATACCTTTACAACTCGCGCATTTCCAAAATAAGTCTCACTAATATATATTTAAAAAAAACATAACAACAGTAATTGCGGTTACATTTCATCCTTGCCGAGCATTTGTGTCAAATATGATAAATACTTAACAGTTGCCGTTAACGTCTAAACATGATTTAATGTTTTGACAAATGTTGTTTTTTTTTTATAACTTTCCATAAAATCAATGAAAGTGCATAACAAGCAACATTGTCTTGTTTACAATTAGAACATCATTCCTTACATTGTATATCGTTGACTCCTATTAACGGCTTGTACCTCTGATAAAAAAATTTTTTCTTCTAACATTTGGTATGCTGGTATTCTCTTATTTAAAACCTTTGTGAACATTTATCCAAAACAACTTTAAAATGTTAGATGTCGATGGAATCCATTTTACAACTTTTGTTTTTAACACAAAGGTTATATTTTCCATAATCACCAATCATTAGGAAATATCCTTCATCGAGAATTGAAATTGTATCAACGATTATGTTAAGAAGTTTGACGTGCAGTGACAACATAATCTATTCATGGCTCTTTAATAGAAAGTTATGATATTTATTGACAACTCTGTCTTGGCCTGACACTTCACTTTTTCTATGATTTTAGAATCACTTTTGTCTCATCCTCATTCATCTTCTCATTATTTTAGTTTTACGAAAGGATTCTTTAATTATGCTTTTATGAATCCTTTTCGTAAACACTTAGCATTTTTCTTTTCCATGATCGGACGGAAAGATAGAGAGAAAAAGGGAGGGTTCGGACTCTCTCAAAGATAAGGTGTCACGCATTATGGTGTAGACACGGCTACATCCTTTTTGCTTGACTAGTTTCTACAAATTTATTGAATTATTAATTGTCAGCATAGTTAATTTGAATGCAAATAGCTTAAGAACATACCCATATATACTATTATGATAGAAACATATTTCGAAGGAAGATTAACAAATTGTGTTAATTTGGACCAAAATGGATTTCATTTAAAAAATACAATAAACATTGTCATTTTTGAAGGTGAAGAAATTTTTCTACAAAAGACGCCAGTCGATACCCTGTAAGACACTTAGTCACTATCATGAAAAACAA